CTGCTCCATTCTTTATGGCTCCTAAATAGCTGTTAATTTTCTACTCGGAGGCGGCTGGATTTCGGGGAGGACAAAACGAGTTGAGTGTGTACGGTTATTCATAAAACCACTCGTAAATCTTGGGCGTAAATCTTCAAAGGAAGCGGGACATGGTTTGGAGTAACCCTTCCCGGGACGGTCACAGGTCAAGAGGAGCCACGAGCTCCTCTTCCCTTCCTCAGGAATCTTTTCTCATCTGAGATAGTGTGCAAGACGGTGCTGCGTCAATCAGCTGTAAAAAAAAATAGTAATATATTTGCTCCGCTGTTAAAATGCCTCCAGCTTTGTGATGGGGAACCAAGCGTCTCTTGCAGTGACCCTGCGAGAGGAGGGGAGGGTCTGGGCGCAAGCGCTCTGCGGCTCAGGGTTAATCCTACCTCTTGCAAAAGCAGCAGCTCCTCGGACTTGGACTGTCCATGGCCCAGGTTACGCTCCAAGCCAGACACCCAGCAAACACATGGCAAACACCCACAGCTCCCGGCCAGCTGGGCGATGCTCACTGGCAAGCCCAGGCTGGGTGGCAAAGGTGACAGGTTTGTTGTCAGTGCAAAAGCGCGTGGCTTTTTCTGTGCACCCGGAGACACGGGGCTGCACCAAACCTCTTGCCTCCTCTCCTTCCTCCCGAATCCCAGGCGCCGTCACCCTTCGGCCTCGCCGTGGTGTGTGTCCTCGTTTCCTGCGCTCCTCGAATAGGGTGTTGCAGCAGAGGAGGTGCTGGGAGCAGGACAGGATGGAGGAGGACAGCGAGTGCTGCTGGAGCTGTCACACTTATCAGGGCTGGGTGCATTGTCTGTCCCCATGCCTGGATGTCCCTTGCTTGTAAGGAAACCTGTAAACACTTGTTTCTTTTAAAACAGCAGTAAAATCTACAAACCCAAAGAAATAAGCCAGGCAAGCTGGTGTCTGGATGCACTTGCTAGCAGAACCACACCAACATGAGGAAAACCTATGTCAGAGGAAAGGGAAAGTATTTGGGGGGCAAAAAGAGGTTCAAGATAGTTACGGAGAAACAGTTGAGGATAAAAAATGCTTCAAATTCTTCCTTTTCTAACAAAGCAAGGCAGGATTTCCATTTTGTTGCCATGCTGACCCTGAGACAGCTGGGCATGAGCTGCAAGCTTGGAGAAGCCTCTCCCAAAAGCACGAGAGCTCCTGAAAAGGGGAGTGTTGGAGTGCTGGCTGAGAAGGGGTGCTGGTTTTCACTGCCGGAGAGCTTTCCTACTTTACCGGGGCGCAGGCAAGGGAGTTGCAGGACTGCACTGGGCACGGGCCCAAGTCTAGAGGTCAAGGTTGAAGAGCACCGACAGCGAGTTTCAGCATGACGGGGGGGAATAGCTGCAATGGCCTTGGGAGAGTGTGCTGGTGGCAGCTGAGGAGGAGGATGTGGGCTCCAAGGGCTGTCCTGGCTGCATCGTGGCATTTCCTTTGGACTGGGTCATCCCTTTTTTTTTTTTCTCCAGAGAGTTTTATAAATGACCATAAAGACTAGCTGCAGGGTGGAGGAAGCTCAGGCACACCACTGTCCCCACATCCCCAAGGGGTCTCAGTGCCTGGGGATGCTGGAGCAGCAGAGAGCTGCTTTCTTGGCTCCCAGGGTGGCAGTGGGGGGAAGATGGCAGTTGAATGTCGTGATCCTACACTGGAAGTAACATCCCCATGTCTGTCTGTCTTTTCCACAGCGTGTCCAAGATGGCGAGCGTGCTGTCTAGGCGCTTGGGGAAGCGCTCCCTGCTAGGCACCCGCATCTCTGCCCCCGGCGCCTTGGCCGACGGGGTGCTGGTAGCCACCCAGATCCCCGGCTTGCCGACTGACCTGGGCCGTGCGTCTGCCCATGCAGTGCCACGAGAGGATGGATCCTGTGTGCCGTCGGTGGAGGAGAGCAGCCAGGCACCCCGGTTCCACAGCCCTGGCTGCCAGCAGCTCTGCACTGGGCAGCAAGTACGTAAGGAGGCTCTCTGTGTCCTTGGCTGGTGGGATGTGCTCTGGCGGGTGGCTCTGTTGGGGAATAAAACTCCTGGGGCTCTCCTAGTGTAAGGTGCAGTGGGTATCTGTAATTAGCGAGAGTCGTTAATGGGCGTTGACGTTAGTGCACTTGGCTCCAGCCGTACCTGATGGATTTGGACCATACCAGCTCAAGTGGAGATCCATCTCCTCCAGGAGATTTCTCCAATCCTAGCCAAAAGTGGGTGTCCAGAGAAAAACAGTAAGAAGACCTGACGCCTCTGTCCAGTGTTCTCCAACTCTGAGACTGAGTGTGATGGTTTCTATAGATTTAATGACTCCCAACAGGCTTCTATTCCATGAAGTTATCCTGTCTCTCCATAACCCACGTTTACACCTGAAGGAACGTGGCAAAGAGCCCCTCAGCTTTGCCACAATAGTGATGAGCCTCAGGGCTCAGAGCTCGGTCTGCAGCAGCTTTTTGCTGGAGGGTTGAGGGTCGATAATGTGGATGTATGTGGTGAAGAAGTTCCTAGGTAAGAGTGAGGTTCAGTGGCTCACTCAATGTCAAAGGACATCTTGTCCTGCTGGACCCGCCCTTTCTTGTATTCTGGGCTCCTGATCCTTAGGAGAGCAGTGCCTTGGCCAGGATGCTGCCTGGGGCAGGGAACAGGGCTCTTTCTTGATCCCACCGGAACGGTTCCTGTTAATGCCTGGCCAGGCAGCACTGTCCAATTGGAGGTGTGAGCTGCTGATGTAGAGCCTGTTTCTTGGCTGCTACCTGCAGAACTGTAAACCCTTTTCTGGGCAGAGCTTGTGCAATGGAGTGTAAAAAAGGCCCCTTTTTGGTTTTTTGGCTCCTCCTGCCCTGTGTTTATTAGCCACAGGACAGTGAGAGCTGTTTTCTCCTATGTTCTCTGCTGTGGAGCATTTTGCTCACTTGCTTTTCTGCTGGGAGTGGCATAAAAATAGTGATAGGATGTCTTCACCTCCCAGCGACAGCTGGGACCTGTGCCGGCGGCTGTGCAAAGCCAAAGGAGATGTCGGCTCCTCATGCTGTGCACGGTCTGGAGGACAGCCCGTGTGGTTCACAGGGAAGTTTTGCTCCTTGTTTTCAGAAAGCAGAGTCAGGGCCTTCTGTGTCCTGATCCTTGCACTGATTCCCTTAATCCTCATCCTGCCATGGGTAGCTTTTTCCACCTTGCTATTTCTGCTGGAGGTCTCACCTGAGATGGTCTCGCAGGCACCTCTCCAGTCAGGGTATGGGTACGCGTGTCCATCCTGTATCGGCTTCTTGATGTGACACCTGTAGTGCTTCCATAAAGACATGTTCCTGTTCCTATAAATAACCGGAGACACATGTAGTGTATTTTGACACAGATACATTTCCATTAACAGAAATAGGCTCATGGGTGGTAGTGGTGGAAAACCGCCCATCAGGAGTTGGGACGCTGTGAAGGAGGAGGTGAGGTTTGCACATCTCTCCTCCTACCCAAAGGAGCCGGGAGTGGAGGAGCCAAGGTGTAAATTCAGCATCACTTTGCCCAGGAAACCTCCGTTCTCCCATCTCCCTCTGGCTTTTAATCCTTTTATCTACGTCCTGTGCCAGGGTGTGTAATAATTGTGGGAGTCCTTGCAGCAGGATGGCATGAGAGCAAAGCCAAAGCAGACCAAATGCATTGGAGAAAAGTCCACCGAAAGTTAACCACACTCAGAGGTGGTTCATACCGGCTCAGGAAATCCATCAATTTGGGATTGCTGGAGTCAGAGAGCTTGTGCCTGGAAAGAGCAGATCTCTTTGTGGTGGGGTCAGGATGAAGCCTGGCCACCTCTGGTTTGCTGTGACAGCAGTCTGAAGTCCAAGCCCTTCAGGACAGGCTCTGCTTTCGTCCTAAAGCCTTTTGTGGCCCCCTCTGCTGCTGCTGCAGGAGGAGAGGGGATCCTGTGGCGGGTGAAGGCTTGCTTGTTCTGTGGCTGGACATCACCCGGAGCAGCGAGTGGCACCAACAAACCAACTCTCGTGCCGTTTTCAGGTCCTCGTCACCTACAATGGGCAGGAGTGTGCTGGCCTCGTGGAGCAGCACAACCCACTGAGCGACAGGATGAAGGTGCTGCTGCCAGAGCAGGGCTTGCAGGCGTGCTGGAGAGTGCAGGACATGCAGCCAGCTGTGCTCCAGCCCCACACCCTGCCCGCAGCCGGTGGTCCCAGCCCTTCCGAGGCACTGCAGAGATCCGTATCCAGCAACATCGATGTACCCAAGAGGTTTGTGCCTTTGGCTCGTGGTATCTCAGTCAGACAGAAGAGGGGCTCTTGGTGGCTCTGGCAGCACTCGCGCTTGGTTTTACATCAACGGAGAGAGTGGTGATGCTGGGAATATATCTGCCTTCCCAGCGCAGATTATCCATAGGATGGTTAAATTTAGGATTAAGGGGATTTAAATTTTTTTTTTTTTCCAAATGGGGAGAAAACATTCTTCCCAGTGACTTAGAAATGACTCAAAGCTTATGGAGGGAGGCAGGGGGAAACCTGTGCTGCTGCAGGTTCTGCTGTCCTTTGGGTGCCTGGTGACTCCCCGGGTCATACTTGGGCTGTTCCTCTGCTTTTTCCTCCATGCATTTCGTATCTCTCCCCTCACGGTGCAGGAAAGCTGATGCCGCAGTAGAGATGGATGAGATGGTGGCAGCCATGGTGCTGACGAGCCTCTCCTGCAGCCCCGTGGTGCAGAGCCCTCCCAGCGGTGAAAGTGGCATCCCCCGTGAGTATGCATTTAAAATATACCTATATATTTGTTAAATAAAAACATTCAAAACAAAAGGAGACTTGAAGAAACATGCTATGTCCTTTGGATCTCAGTGCCAGGGCTTTTGCTCGCTGCAGAGATGCCTTGCCTGGTGCCTAATACTTGCCAGGACAGGGACTATACTGGGCTGGAGGTGGCCAGGAAGTGGTACCAGAGTTCCAAAAGAGCCCGTGGGTGCCGGCACTGTTGGGGGCCAAGCAAGCCGGAACACCCCTGGCAGCACAGTGGGAGTAACCCTGCTCTCCGCAGCCATCCCTGGGGGCCGGGGACCCCCTTGCAGGAGTCCCGAGTCGGGGAGCACCGCCCGGTCGCTCCTTTTTTTAGAGGCAGTTTCATTCCCGAGGAGTCAAATGCAGCAGGAGAGATAAAAATAGCTGCCTGGAGCCGTGGGAAATGTGCGTGCCCTGGTGCTGGCTGCTCGCCGTGTGCCGGCTGTGCCCATGGGATTGCACTGATGCCAAGGAGGATGGGGAGGGGAAAAAAGGGATAAATGACCAATAACTGGGAGCTGGTGCAGTGCAAAGGTGTCAAGGCTTCACCTTGCCAAGTTTTTAAAAAAATAAGTACATAGAGGCAAACGGTTGTCGCAGATTATCCAACCGCAGGGCTGGACTCTGCTTAGGGGGGTGGTTTGCTTGACCCTGAGCTGAGGATGTCAGCGCCATGTCCCCTCCCTGCAGCCTCACGGGTAGCATGTGATCCCTGGAAGGAGAGCGGCGACGTTTCAGACAGCGGCAGCAGCACCACCAGCGGGCACTGGAGCGGGGGCAGCGACATCTCCACCCCTTCGCCCCCCCACCCCGCGGGCAGCCCCAAGTACTCCAGGGAGGCCCTCAGCTCCCCCCACGCAGACGATGGCTTCGAGACTGACTCCGACCCCTTTCTCCTTGATGAGCCCGCTCCGCGAAAGAGGAAGGTACTGCTGCCATTGCGGGGTGGGGAGTCCCAGCGGTGGGGGAGGGGGCCCCGCGGTGGCCGCGGTTTGGAGGGGAAGACGCTGCCACTGGGCAGGGGGTGACACGGGCTGTCTCTCCACCAGAACTCGGTGAAAGTGATGTACAAGTGCCTGTGGCCAAGCTGCGGCAAGGTCCTGCGCTCCATCGTCGGCATCAAGCGGCACGTCAAGACCCAGCACCTCGGGTAAGGCAAAGATTTCACCTCCTCGATCCCTGTCCCACCACTGAAGCTGCGTGCCCTGCTGCTGCGTAATTTGTGATTCCTGCAGCGAGTGTCCTCTGTGTCAGAGGTAGCGGCCTCTGTGCACTGAGCTTGGCAGTTCTCAGCCAAGCAGTCCGTGTCACTGCATCCAATGTTGTGTGTCCCCACCTTCAGGGAGCGGAGGGAGGGCGTTCTGGGAGGCACAGGAGCCTCATTTGGGCTTTGGGATTGCCCAGCTCAGGTATGCGTTTTGCACAGGGGGGAGTTCAGGTTACACGTGAGCCCTGCGCTTGCGGCAGAGGCGAAAAAGTGACAGCCCAGGGAGGTTCCACAAGGGTTGGCAGCCTGAGTGCCTGCTGTGACAGTGGCCAGCTGCAGCTCGGCCATGGGGGCTGGCACGGGCACCTATGTGCCATCCTGGTGGCGGCTGCCCCTTTGGCAGTTCACTTTGCTTTGTCCTGATCTCCTCTGAATTTCCTCCGAAATACGAAGTGATTTTCTTGTGCTTTTGTCCATGTTTTCTGGTATGTATTTTCCCCCTCCTCCCTTGCAAACGTGAATGCTCTGGGAAAGGCGAGGACAGAAGGGCTGTGATGCAGTAGGCAGCGCTGGACTGCCATCCAGTGCCGGATAAGCGCACTGGGAAGATAATAATGAATGACTTTAGCGGCTGTTTCCTGCCGGGTGAACTGCGGGGCCTCGTCAGCAGCTGTGCTAAATGAACTCGGTTAGAAATGAGCAGTGGATTTTCAGTGGCGCCCGGTCAATGTGCCGGCGTTTCTGAAGGCCCTGGAAGAGGTATTGATCTTCCTTAGACGTAGTGCTGCTGCGGAGGCGGTGGCTGTTGCTGATTGCAGCCGATGTGATGCTTTGGAGCCTGGGAGCGAAGCTGCTCTGCCTGGGTCGGCGAGATCACTCTCCCCCAGGGAAGTTGAGGGCCACATGCCTTGATGGAAACAGAACCGCCTTTTTCACCATTCTCCCTTTTTCCTTTTGGGCAGGGACGGCGCAGACTCTGACCAGCGGAAGCGGGAGGAGGATTTCTACTACACCGAAGTGCAGGTGAAGGAAGAGCCGGCGCCGGAGGCGGCCACTGCCGCCCCCAGCCCCACGTCCGCGTCCGCCCCCATCATCATTCAGCAAGCCCTGGCGAAGCCGGAGGCACTGCTGGTGGAGCAGCCAGCACTGGAGCCCGCCCTAGCCAGCAGCGCCCTGAGCCAGTCTGCCCCCAGCTCCTTCTGGCACATCCAGGCTGATCATGCCTACCAGGTGAGCTGGTGGCATCTCCTGGGGACAAGTCACCTCTCAAAATCTTGCTGAAGGGCAGCTCAGGGTCCGGTTTGCTCTGCGAGTGCCTGCTGTGGATGTTTCATTGGACTCCCCCGCAGCACGGAGAGACTTTGCTGCTGGTGTAGCATCATCCCCTGCCTGGCTGCCCTTCAGCCCCTGAGCAACCGGCCTCCATTAATGCCTGGTTAAGGGGCTGGGGTGCTTCCACCGCAGCCATCCCGGGCTGGGGGGTGCTGCCGGCCTCCGCTCCCCTACAGTTACCCCATGCTGGTATGCAACACACCCTTCTGCAGGCAGATAACGCAGCACTGGAATGCAGCTGCGCCGGATCCTGCACGTCTCCTCTGCACGGGCTTTTGAGGCATGGGAAACTTGGGGACCCAGAGTGGTGGCCCCAGGGGCACCCTGGCTCAGCCATCCTTGTCCTTGCTTGAGAGCCCAGCGCTGTTTGGGAGCTGCGAGCCAGCACAGGGACAGACTATATAGACCTATAAGCTGTGCGTATATCCGTTCTCACTCCAGGGAATGGATGCAAAATCATCCAAAAGCAGAAAGTGCATTTCTTGATGGCATATGTAAATAGGTGCAAAAAATATATACATGTAGACCAGGCTGGTGCGTGTGGTTTGGTGTTGCAAACAAAAGTGGCTGCGGGAGTGAAGAAGCTGCTGTGCCCCAGCGAAGGGTGACACGACACGTGTGCTGTGCCCCGTGTTAGCAGGATCTGGCGCTGGAGGAGAGGTTGCATAGGGATTTCCATCCTGCTCTCAGTTTGTGGGTACTCCAGGCTGGTCTTCACAAGGAGGTGAAGGCCTGTGGGGTGGCACATGGGAACAGGGGGACCTCAAGGCTAATGCTGACCCCTCTTTTCCCTGACAGGCATTGCCCTCAATCCAAATTCCAGTGTCCCCCCACATCTTCACCAGCATCAGCTGGGCCACTGCCACATCGACTCTCCCATCCCTGTCACCGGTGAGTTTTGCATGTATTTCCCCTTCATCCTTCTGGGGTGCAGGATTGGGCTGGGAGATACGAGGACGTTGTCTCTGCTTTCTCGCTCCCCACTTTGCATGTCCAGATTTGTGGGCTGGGGGCACCCGTGTCTCCTGCTGCTCTGCCCAGGGCCCACACAGGATGGGGCCCACATCGTTCCACATACCCTTTGACACCTGATTCCCCGTAGGTGCGGAGCCGGTCGCTCAGCTTCAGCGAACCCCAGCCACCGACGCCAATGCTCAAGTCCCACCTGATCGTTGCCTCGCCACCCAGGGTGTCCATCGGCACCAGGTGAGGGTCCCGCCGGCCTGGGGGGAGCAGAGGTGGAGTCTGTCAGCAAAAGGGGGGTGCCCTGCTGCATCTCCGCTGGTTACAGGGCCTTACCCGTAGATACAGGACCAAAGTTCTGTAACAAGTGGATAAATGTTGTGGTTTTTTGGTTTGTTTTTTTTTCCCTCCTTTTGCAGGAAAGTCCGTGGTGAAGCCAAAAAGTGCCGTAAGGTGTACGGCATCGAGCACCGGGACCAGTGGTGCACGGCCTGCCGGTGGAAAAAAGCCTGTCAGCGCTTCCTGGACTGAGTGCAGCACTGCAGTGCCGCATCTCTCCCCTGCTCCTGCCCGGGGAGCACCGGAGTCCCTCACTGCTGCAACCAGGGACCTTGGAGGTACCTCCTGTGACCCCAGAAGACACCTCCAGAGCTGCGTGTAAATTCCTCCTTCTGTATATTGTACATCTGCTGGGTTTGCTCTTTTTTTAAAAAAAACTTTTTCCAATGTTTTCTGTTTTTTAAATCTGAAGAATATCTCGCTTTGTACGGTAAAAGCTGGGGCTGGGAGGGAAGGAAGCCAGTTCCTTGGAGTTTTGGGAGAGATTGTAGGCAATCTGGGGACCAAAGACCTTCCTGCATTTCCCAGATCAGCCTGAAAATCTCCTCAGCTGTCGCAGCGTGACTGGGATGAGGCATTGAGGCAGCTTCCCGTGTCCTTTGACTACCTAGAAAGTGCAAATCCCTGGTATCCTTTAAGGGAGGGAATCGGTAACAATTAATAGCTTTAAAAAAGAAAATGCTGTTGGGTTGCTGCAAGCAAGGCGGGAGCGGTTCTCGGGACAGGAATCTGAGGTTTCGTTCCCTGCATGGATGTGGGCTTTGCTCGTGTCACATCACACCTGCGTGTGCCTCGGTCCGTTCCGGCGCATCGTTTTTGGAGGCAGTTAGGCAAGGCAAAAAAACCCCACCCAAAACATTTTAATCAGGAAAACTATGAGAGTTTTTAAGGCAAAACCTGGTGGTTTTAGGCTTTGTGAGTCTGCTTAGCTCCATGAAAACTGATATTGTGGCCTCACTGTGTCTTTCAAAACTAGGCTGAGCAAGTTTATTTTTGTATTTAATGATTGCACCAATGAAGGCAGCTGGGAGGACTGGGAAGGACTTTCCCTTAGCATTACTGTATGGCCCCAATTCAGCAAAACGCTTCAATATTTGCTTTTGAATCCCATCAAGCCCACTGGGAGTCAGCTTTCTGACTTCCATCCTTTAAAACACGTATTTACCCAACCCAACTGTCGTTACCGTCCCACTGACACCAGCATCGCTGGTGGGATATTGCACTTGGTGTTGGGCCAGGATGCGTGTGGCCAGGGGGCCGGATTGCCCCGTTGGCTTTCCCCCTCGCTGGGACAGGCAGCCATTTGGATTTTAATTTTTTTTTTTTTTGTTGCGTTTTTGATAATCACAGGCCGTAACCTGCAGTCATGGAGCTGAGAGCAATCCCTGCACGCGGCTTGAGCCCGGCGTGTTTTTAAGGACCCCGCGCTGAGGCTCAACTTTCCTTATAAAAGTGCATCAAATGGCGGAGAGAGCGCGATATTGATCCCAGATCATCACGAGCCCCGTTGTTGAAGGGATCGGGTGGGCAGGCGAAGCGGGTTACTGGTGTTTGTTGGCGTGTTGGGGTATTTTTTTGTTGTTCATTTGTAACTTTGTACATACAAGCAGTGTATTGTCCCGCAACCTTCTCTTCTCTCCAGTATACAACTGGCGGATGCAAAATTTGGCCGCTGGAAAGCAGGAGCAAAACTGGCAGGATACGTATCCAGGCAGGATACAACCCTGCGGAGTTTCATCGCTGGGTGAGTCTGGACAGGTCCAGCTCAAATCCTGGGGAAGAGGAGAGGTTTTGCTCCTTGAGAGCTGCTCCCTCAGGCTCCCGTCCCTGCCGGAGCCTGGTGTTGAGAGCAAAAAGTCAGGAAAAGCCTTTTCCCGCTGGCATCGCGGACTTTGCAGGCTCCCAGGTTGAGTGTTTTATTGCGAGAACAACTTTCCAGACCGCGTTGCAAGTTGGTGCTGTGCATCCATGGCCCCGGTGACAATTAATTGTGTGGGGCAGTTGTTGCACTACTTTAAAATAGTTTTGGTTTGGTTTGTTTTTTTCAATAAAGAAAATGCTGCTGTCTGACCTCCAGCGTTTGAACAGCCGAGCTGGCGACATCCACCCTGCGTCGCCTGGCAAGAGCTCGGCATGTTTATCCTTTCAGGGAAGGGCCCGGCGCTGCCAGGGTGCAGGCAGGTTTTCAGCGATGCTGGTGGCTCTCCAGAAGCGAGTTGACACTTTGGGAAATCCCACACAGCCCCTCGCTGCATTTTTATTTTCCAAATGTTTTTCAAAAAAAGGGGCTCGAAGCAGCACCCAGAGCATAGAAGGAAAAAAAACCCTGAATTTTTGCTTTCCTCAGACCTTGTGCCTTTCCCCCCACAACTCAGAGAGACCCAGGCAGGACCAGAGATTTTACTTTTTGCTTTTTATGCCCTTTCTGCCCCAAAAAGGCACTGGCCGGACACAACTTGGCTCCCGCGGCTCTCAGCAAAATCACTCAGGAAACTTCGAACAAGCCATCCAGGGTCGGCATCGGGGTGTGGCATCACGCCAGCTGGTGTAGGGGGTTCATCCTCCTGAAACAGGGGTATGACATCGGACACCCCCGGCCCTTCCCGGCCCGGATCTGCCTCAGAGGACCAGATTTTTCACTGGTGGGAGCTCAGGTGTCCGAAAAATAAAGCGAAAATAACTTTCTGCTTTTTTCTTAAAAATGCTTTTTTAAAAAGAATTATATAAAAAGGAAGAAAAAGGCGTCAGCAGCTTTGGAACAAGCAGGTGCATGTGGCGTCCCTGGGTGAGACGAAGGGGCTGGTAGGACCCCCCTTCTTCCCACCCCAGGAAACAGGGGAAGCAGCCCCCCCACTGCCCTTCGGCCCTGGCCCTCGCAATGCCTCCTCCTCCTCGCGCAGCGCGTAGCACTTACTGCCCAGCAGCCGCAGGGATTATCGTGTAGGAGTATTTTATATCGGTGGTGTTTTATCGGGGGCACGGGAGGGGCGTGCAGCTGCTTTTCCGAGGGCTTTTGCGGTACGGACTTAGCTGGACAAAATTGTCCTTATGCTCATGACTTTTCTGTTGTGTTTTTTTATTTTATTTTTAGTGGAGAAACTGGTGCAGGGTGGGTTGTTTGGTTTTTGGTTTTTTTTTTCCTTCTGGTTTGGGAGTATTTCGGAATTTTTACACTTGAAAAAAAGAAAAACCTTCTCGTATTTTTGCAGAAACGACAGCTGGCTTTCACCCTGTCTATCGAGTTGGTTGGCATTGAATATATAATTATATATATATTTTGTCCCTGCCCTATTATTTTTTAACTCACTTCCAGCCACCTCCCAACCGTTGGACTTTTCCTCCTGACACTTGAGTCTCGCTTGGTCTCAAGAAAACTCCTCTTTGGCCTCAACTGCGGGTAACCCCCACCTGTAAATCCAGCTCAGAGAGTTTTCCCTCATCCCTCTGCTTGTCTCCCATATATATGTATGTATATAGGAACCTCTTAATTGGGCACTAATTAATTGGAGGCTGCTCCTCCCTCTCCAGCAGGACGCTGTGCCCACTCCAACTGCTGCTGGGGGGTAGTCGGACCCCGAAAGGTGAAGTGAGTCGGTTTAGCGCAGGGTGACCCCACGTCGTTGCTCCTGTTGGCAGGAGACACACAGGTGGAGGTGTCATGGAGCAGGGAAGGGGTTGGGGACCCTTGTCCCTGCGGCCATGCCCCTGTGGGGCCACTGGCTTCCCGACCGAGTGGGGACAATGCCGTTATCAGTGAATTTTCTGTCTTGTCGGAGCTTTTCTCAGCTGTCTTCCAAGTATTATTTTTATTGTTTAAAAAAAAAAAAGAAGAGGACAAAAAAAAAAAAGAAAGTTAAAAAATAAAAATGTGAAATGTAATTTTTACAGCAGCAATATGAAATATATTTTATAAGAAATAAAAAGAAAAGTTGCCTGGTAGCTCGCTGGCTCTGCCTCGTCCTTGCGGCCCGTGTGGTGTCACCCGGGGACCTGCCATGTCCCTTGGGGACCCCCTGTGTCCCCCAGTATGGAGGTGGTGGCACTTTCTGCCACCGTTTGTGGCTGCTGGGCCTCGACCCAGAGGTGTCGGAGTTGGCACAACTGTTCCTGGCACCACTAGATAGCAGTGTCTGCCCAGCGCTGGCAGTGCCGCTCCCTCCCTCTGCAGCACTTTTTTGTTGTTGCTCTTCTTTCCCAAAAAAACCCAAATTCATCAAGTTTTTAACCTGGAAGCCGCAGAGAGGGGTTAATAAGTGCTAAACCTGGTGGGTTTTTAACCCGTGTCCTGCCGTGGGGGACTCCGCGCAGTCAAACATCGAGCTGAGAAGTTGCCTTTTGATGCAGAAAATGGATAATTTTATTTTTTCTCCCTGTGTGGAGGTGAAAGAGAATGTTGAAAGGCGGGGGGGAAGAGTGGGACGAAGCAAACCCTTCCACTGGCCAATGTCTTCCCTCAATTAATTTCTTAATTGCCAACCCCTCTTTCTTGGTGGCAAAGAAAAAAAGCAGCAGAAGTCGCCACCTCCCTGCCTGGAGCTGGTTGTTCACCCGGAGCCTGACGCTAACCCAGCTTGCAAACTGGGACCCTCAAATCCCCTTTTTTCCCCCCAAATAACCCCCTGATCCATCTCATTTTTGGCTGAGGGGCACATGTGCAATGGGACCGACAACGCCCCCACAGTAGCTCTGCAACAGCCCACACAAGGGGGAATATCTACCGTCCCAAAAGCCCCCACTCTGGAAATCATACAAATTTCCCCAAATCCTCCTTTTTTCCCCTAAAACCAAACCATTCCCCAGCTGAGTGGGGGGGACTCAATCCCACTCCCCATGGTGGGAGGTGGGAGGGGCATGCAGCAGGGACCCGCTCTGCAGGCGTTGACCCAAGTGACGGTCGCCAGTCGCAATAATATTGTAGAAACAGTAAACTAATTTATTAATCCTTTTGCTATGTACAAGTTTAATGGAGAAATCTTTGTATGAAACAATTAAAAAGAACAAGATTTTGGATTTTTTTTTTTCCGTCGGGATTATTCTATTATTTTTTTTTTTTTTTTACAAACAGTGAAGAAGGGCAGTGCTGCAGGTGAGACCCGGGCGAAGTCATTCCCGGGATATGCTTTTTTATTTTTTTTTTTTTTTTTTTTTTTTGGTAGCAAATTAGGCAAAAGATCAACCAGATCCCATTATCC